TCACTTAACTGCTGAATTTGTCCCCGCCGAACTCGGATCGCGCCTTGCCCTTTCCGCGATATGCAGATATTTTCTCTGCTGATTCGGAGCGTCGACCGCACGACATAGGGGATAGTCGTCGGTGATATATCGGCGGGTCCAGGTGTGTGCAAGATGATGATGATGATGATGGCGGCGGTGACGAGTTCATTGTCCACAGCTGTCCCGTTCAAGCCATTATCTTCAGCCTGCTTATATTTCTCCCCTGTTCGGCGCGTCCCCGTCTTCCCCGAAGAACCGACATTAAAACGGCAAACCGGCAAAAGCCCATCCTAATCTGAAATCCGAACGCCCTGAGGTCTTCCCCCTTTTTTTTTTAACCCCAGGAAACCCCATTTGCAGTAAATTTAAGCGAGGAAATCGTCACTCAGAGAGACGAATGGGGCCTCTCGAGTTAAATATCCTCGCGATGGGTGGAGCATGATGTAGGCAAAGCCCACACGATTTGTTCCTTAAGAAACCCATCGAGCTGACCTCCTGCTTCATTTTTTTTTTTAATCTTGTGCATTCTTACTGATACATTGCCTTCTCTCAGCCCCTGGAATCCGTTATATACCTAAGGAAGAAAGTAGGAGGGGGTCCGAGATGTATGGGAAGAGCCGTTGAGTGATGAGAGGGCTCCGAGGCAATTTCCTCGGGATTTTCGCAGTCCCTCAACCCCTTATCATCCCCTTAGCATCCCCTTAGCATCCCCTTAGCATCCCTTAGCATCCCTTAGCGTGTTCGAAGTACACGAAGTTGGTGAGGAACGAGAGACTTAAGGTCTCGGACTATCGTGTAAGACCGAGTTCATTCCTGGGATTCCTTTCGTTATGAGGTGGAATTGGGTCAAGGAATTCCACCGACAGGGAATATTCCCAGGCGGCTTCTTCAGGGCTGCAACCTCGATTAGGGGAGATTTTATAATTAACCTACATCGATACAAATATATATAAATTGTTTTTTACGTAGCTAGTTCTAGTAACCGCCATGAAAAATTTTTTTGTTGCCTTGTCTTCTCGAATGTTCCACTTTTCTTGTTCCAGATGCAGTGTTATACCAGAGTGAAAAGAGAAACCGTGCAGTGAAATGTATCGAAAGTGGAAGAAGATCGGCATGGGAGATCCTTGAAGAGAACCACGAAACAGGGAAAGGTAAGGACCGTGATTACCCCGAGGTCAGGGGGTCTCACCAGCCCCTTTCATCTCCTCCTCGGGGTCATCCCGGTTGGAATGGATTATCCCCGTTGGAATGGATTATCCTCGAATTGAAATTGTGTTCTCAGCCGTGAAAGGAACTGGGACGCGCGAGAAAGTCGGCGAAATTTATTTTTTTAGGCGGATTGGAGGGGAGAAGATGCATCTAAACGGTTGGAAACTGGCTCGTTGATGCCATCATTATGCTGTTGGTTACTTTTTTGTTGTACATTATGCTGTTGGTTTGTGTTTTTTTGCTCGCCCCTGCTGTCACGTTTGAGGGACGAGATAGGATCTGAGGGGGCGAGTATCTCTTCCGGTCCGCGTACGGTATTTATGAGTAGGAATACTCTTAGGTGTCTCTTCACCTCGGGGGGAGAGATGGAAGAAGCAGACGAAACCCGAGAAAAATCGCGAGCGATGACCCCTCCGGTAAATGGAGAGGAAATAAGAGGAAATGAAGAAATCCTCGGGTCGTTTTCCCCCGATTTCTTCGAGCCGCGACGGATTTTTGGGATGGAACGATTTTTTTTTTTCCCGCGGAAGCTCGAAAGCGAGCCCGACATCCGACCGCGTCGCATTACGCGTCACATTACACCTCGCATTACATGCAATACGTGATGGGCCCGGCCATCATCTTTTTCTCTGGGATTGTGGGGGTGAGCCGCTACTCGACCGCAAGTGAAATCTGTTACCCCGCAGCCGCAAACTCGGGTATACGGCCGACCGGTAACGGATCCCCGGCTTTACAATCGCCGGTACTGCTTGCGTACTCCGCCGCGATTTTTCTCCCGCCTTCTTAGAAGCCGGCTCGCCGAAGAGAGGACGGAAATAAGGAATCCCGCTCCCATTAGTTCCCCTTGATCGAAAAGAGGAACCCTCGCACTCGATTTCCCGATCCCAGTCGACCAGAACTAGGTATTTTGGCCTAAGTGGTGCCGCCCATTCGGTCTGGGATTCCTTTTGTGTACATAGGAGAAATGAAATACGGGTGGGACGTGCATGGAATCAGAACCACGTAATTGGCGAATGAGGGATTACCTATTAAGATATTGGCTAATTGCTGAGTTGGCTTAAAACATCCGATTTTTTATTTTTAATATCTCTAAAATGGTTAAGTTATCGTGTCGAGTCTGCGAATCGTGTTTCTCGGAGCCTGTTTGGAAATGAGGACACGTCATTAAGTGAGTTCTGCCGACCCATCCCAGTTTGCTCATCTTCATATTTATCGTGCTGGGGTCGGGGAAGAAATGCTCGTTTCGATGCAGAACTCTGGGGGCGGGGGCGGGGGCGGTGGTGAGGGGGAGGGGGCAGGGGGCGGGGGGTCGAATCTCTTGCCACTCCCAATAATGGGGAATTGTTTTGTTCCGTGAAATCAGAAACCTAAATGAAAATTCATAGCGAGAAATTAATGTGTTTATCTTGTTTAATGAGACAGATCGTGCTGAAAAATGTTTGAAGTCGTTAGAGTCGGATGTGTGCTATCACGGCGATAATGACCGTGTTCCCAGTGACAGCCGCAACTATCAGAGTGAATAATATCGAAACCCGGAGAAGAAAGTAGTCGAGGGTCATCCGACGGCATCCCCGGTCCCGTTAGTGATGAAACGAGTGTTGACCCTCGGGAGAAAAAGGAGTCGATCTGAATCGAAGGGCAGGAGCAAGGGCAGGGTCGACATCTCGTCGATTCGCTCCATTGCCTTCCGTCATCTCCGTGATTATCCGCCATGACCAAAGCATTTTTTTTTTCCTCCGGTCACCCCATATTGTTCCTAACTGTGTATCTCTGCGTCTGCCGAGTCGATAGTGTTGTGTGTGTCGAGTCGACGGTGCATGACTGGGTTTGTGTTTGCGGTTCCAGCCCCGTCCTCGTCCGTCATTTCCACTCCCATCTCGCTCGCTCGCAGGACTTTGATTTTCATGCTGGACGGTGGATTCCGCTAGTTTCAAGGTCCACCGACTCCCCCACCCGCACCCCCGGTCGTCGTTTCCGACTGAAGTTTTTCCCCCAAGAAAGAGAGAGTTTCTCACAGTTCTGTCGTAATCCCGGATCGTTCATCTTTGGTTTTGAAACTAATGAGCTCCGTCTCGTCTTCGCTTTTTTTTTCCCTTTGGTTCCCATTCGCTCTGCCATGCGTGAAGAAATCTTGATGGTGTGGTCAGCCTCGATGGGAATCTTCTCTTGTCCACTCTAAAGGTCTTTGACTTCATCTTCTTGGGGAAGTGGAGCCTGGAAGGGGTCCGGATCGCCTTTTTTGGTCACGTGATGCTTCGTTTCCTGGTGAAGTGGTCGCCGGAGTTGCGTTCCTGTCGGAGTTGTAGGTACGGATTTTTTTGGGGGAGAATCTTGCGACCCGTGAGATGTTATTTATGACTTGTGAGACGTGCGGGGAAAGCTGATATTCTCGAGAAGGGGGACACGCATACGTGGGACCTGTCCCTAATGATTTGCATCATGCATCGGATGGGAGTCTAACGGGCCCCCGAAGATTCTTCTTGTATTCCTACTGTCTCTGGGTGCCTTGAATATGCATGACGGATCGCGATGATGTATGCAAACGTGGAGAAAAAATGTAAATGTCGCGGAGGGATCGATCATGGGCCGAGCCTGTGGGAAAGAAAAAGGAAAGTTTGAGGCTCGCTCGCGGCTTCATCCCACTTTTGCTCGAAACGAGACGAGAAACTGCCATAAGGACCAGGAAGAGGCGAGAGTGTCGTAAGGGAGATAATGAGGAAATAGCCGTGAGGGAAATTGCTAATGGTAGTCATGGTTCGATGAGGATCGATCGGTTCGATTAAGGGACCATTTTTGCTATAGTTTGCCGTCGATCACCTGGTTCCTTTTTTTTTTTTGTTTCCTCCCACTTCGTCTCGTGTTACTCCTTTGCATTTATGCGGTGGAGAGACGAGAAAGGACAAGTGGGACAGGGTCAGGCTCGTTAGGGGATCCGGGACATGTCACTGTCCCATCCATTCAGGGAACCTGTATTCATTTGCGCTGCATTTTGATTACTTTTTCTCAGGGCGTCATTTATTATTTCATGCTCGGTTGTCACGCTCGTTTCGGTCATCGGCTCGGGATGCAAAGTTCCACTCGGGTTTCTGACTTCTTGGGACCCTCAAGGTCTCAACTGGGACACTTGTCCCGATTTGTCACACCTTCAACCGACAAGAAAGAAAGGGAGAGAAGAAAAAAGAGAGAGAGAAGAAGTGGTTGGCAGAGTTACAAAACAGAGGGAGATACGGGTGTTTTTGGCAAGGTTGCAGTCGTGATCCTCTCGGTCAGTTGTGTCTTTTTTCTCTCTTCTCCTTGACACCTGACAGGGTTACAAAAGGGGACTCCATTCTGGAACACCGCCAGTCCCCGCCAGAAAATAGCGGAGAGTGGGAAAAAATGCTCGTCACGTCCTCGAACGAGTTCGTTTTTATGGCCCTGCCATTGAGAAGAACGAGTTGCGTTGTTCTCCGGTCCGAGAGTGGGCCGAAAGTTGGGCCGATTCGCCGTGGTGGGGCGCGAGCCGAAATTACATGGGTCGCATTTTTTTTATCCGGTTAATGTTTTCATCGAGGCTGGTGGCGTGGGTGTTTTTGTATTCGTTGCCGGTTTTCGTATGGAAATGATTTGAGGGTCCGAGCGTGATGCAAGCCGCGAGGCGTATGCGCGTTCGGAGGCGTGATGCGACGGCGTTCGAGTCTTGGACTGGCTTCAAGCTTCCACGTCGGGGTGGAGTCGTGTTTTTGGCATGTCCCACACGCCGAGATAAAAATTCAAGGACTTCCAGATAAATGATCCTCGACTCGTCTCGAGCGAAGCGGTGAGGTACACCGGTTTCTCCCCGCTAACGGCTTTCGAGAACTCGTTTTGCGCCTCGTTCGAGGTCTGAAAGCATTCGAGGAACGCGCGGCGTGAATCGCGAGGTGGCGTGGATGAGTCGGCACGATGAGATGCACGCTTTCGTTCGGCGATGAAGAGGGGCTTTGGGAAAATATTTTCGCGGCGCCTGGTTGGACGGGGGAGTCGGGGTTGGTATGTGGGGTGGCTTCTTCGTGACAGGGGTTTCGTGATGTTAACGGGTTTTTCGTTTTTTTTTTTTACCGCCCGGTTCTTGGGGAATGCTAATGACGAAAACGAAACCCGGGGATGCCATTAAGCGTGGCTTTTCCCTTCCATATCATACAATGGACCGGAATCGTTGCTTCCCATCGGGGGGCGTGGTTGGCAGTGGCACACATTGTCAATGACCCCTCGGCTGACCCAGTTGTCAGGATGAACCGAGACTGGAAGTGAAGTGAAATATTCGGGTTCTATATATCGGAGTGAGAAACAACGGATATCACGCTTTAGGAAATACCTTGGCACCGCTGGGGACCGAGTTCCCACATTCTCCTTGCGAAAGCGGATCTGCCAGAAGCACGTCTTATTTCTCTCTCTCTCTCTCTCTCTCTCTCTCTCTATGTAGTCGTGAACTGGAAACCGATCGTCTCGTTAACCGCTTGTTCTCTGTGCCATCACTTCCGTTCTCGGTTTCCCCATAAACGAGAGCGGGGTTTATATTAGGAGTCACGCGGGGGGGACCAGGTTTCGTGCCGCATTTTCTCACGCACGGCACGTGACCCACCGATTTATTCTCGGATTTTTCTCTCCCCTCGACGAGACGCGAATGGGTAAACGTGTTTCTGTCGGTCGATCGCAGGATGGTGGAGGGCCGGCGATGCGTGGTGGTGCTGTTGGACGAGCGACGCCTGGAGATCTCCGTCCAGCCGAGGCTTCTCACGTCCGAGCTGCTGGATCTCGTCGCCTCGCAGTGCAACGTGAAGGAGCGGGAGCGGCATTACTTTGGCCTCGCGCATCCTCTCTCCGCGGAAGCTGGGTCTGTCCGTCTGTCTGTCTGGGGTGGGGGGTCGCTTCGAGTTGGCGTTTGCGATGGCGTGTGGTGGGTGGTCGGACCGAAGGTGTCGTTGGTGGCAGGAGGTGCCTGTTGCGCATTCACAGCACCTACAACCGACACCTACCGACATCGAGTCCGATGTTGTGGGTGCCGCGACTGGAATGATCGGTTTTGGGTGTCGAGTGGGAGCATCGTGACGTGACGATTTCACGCAGCAAAAAAGGAAAGGCAGGGAAGTGGTATCAAAAGGTATCGAGAGGCTGTCATTTCACGGGGTTTTGAGCATGTGTATGCTGTCGACCTTCGCTCGCAGCCATTGTGAATCGTAGGGCAAGCAGGAAGTCAAGCGAGAACAGGCCCTACTACAGGAGGTCTATAAGTAATGGTCTCGAATGAATTAGGAGAGACAAGGACGCCTTCGATATCGTTTGTGTTGCGAAGGACGAGCGCCCGGGGAGGAAAAGCGTTAAATGTTTGCTAACGTGGGAAGCACGTGGTATCTGAAGCGAGGAGGAAGGAAGCGCGCCACGGTGGCTCGCAACACCTAGGCTACGGGTTCCGAAACATCCCTTTCCGAAGTTACCGCTAGATGTCATGAGCATCTGCCGCGTCGCGTGCAGGCCGCAGCGCTGCTTGCCTTAGCCGCTTCACCTCTTCTCAGCTCGAGGACGAAGAATGTTACGGTTTTGCTTTAATCTGAGCGGCCACGCGGTCGAGCACGTGATGTTTCGGTCCTCGTTAATGAGCCCTATCTGCTCGCGGTTGCGGAAGTCCACAGGACGTCGTCGACCGTCTTGGAAAGTCTCGGTTGACGTCGGGGAATCCGAGTTTCGGGCCGAAATTCAGATGCTCGGACGAAGAGAGACGGACGGAATGCAGCATCGCGAGCCGTCTAGCCGTGATTACAATGAAGACTCGTGCCGATTGTGAACAGAAGCGAAGAAGCAGCATTGTCTCGGGTGGCGTTACGTGACCGGCATTGTCTCGTGTTTACTCCCTCCTCGTGTTACTCCCTTGATATCGGGTGGATTTCACCGCCTCGGGCGGCGACCGCATTCATGTTTTTTACTTCTTATTTGTCGGCACTTCGCAGCTTCCTCCATTGTGTTCCCTTGCCGAGAGAATGAAATCAGCAGGAACGCGGGTGCGAGCGGAAGCGTCTAATTACGACCTCGGAATCTGGAAAAATACGAAGAGTCATTGAAATAGTCCGGCCGACACTAATGGTCTCACTTGTATCACGACATCGTTAGTATGAATAAATTAATGCAGTTTACCTTAATTGGGAGGGGCGGGTATGATGCCCATACCAGCGTGACAGAATGTTGGGGCTACGCCTCCCACTGCATGAATATATGACTTGAATGCTTAGCGTGTTATTTGCAATTTCTATTTCCCAGGGGCAAATCACATAAAATAACTTACTCCAATAAAATCATGGTAATATTTGATTTACCAACGTGTGGTGTATGTTAAATCTCATCACGTGATGTAAAGCGCGATGAACGATCATCGGCGGACGAATCACGATTTGATTTTTCCACTTGTTGTGCGAGCATGTTGCAATGTGTTTGGTAGGAAGCTGCCCTTGACACGGTGTTTATTATGTTTCTCTCTGGGGGGGCACAGAGATGTGGCTCAGTGGCAGTGGCTTCATCCGGACAAGAAGGTCTTGGATCACGAGTTCCTTCGGGGTGGGAGCAGCCAGTCGACGGGGCCGACCCTGTATTTCCTCGTCAAGTGAGTTTCGTGATGGTGGTTTCGTGGGATCTTTTTTGGTTCGTGGGACTGGGTGGTGGGGAGGGGGGGAAGAATGGGATTGTGCCGGAATGCCGGACGGTGGGCAAGCACGTTCGGGGGCATTTTCGTGTCGTTGCGTCATGGGAAAACCGCTGTTGTCTTTCCGTCTTGCCTCACTTTTTATCGCCGTTTCACGTGGTAGGAATGCGTTCCTCCTGGCTCTTGTCTCGATTGTCGAACGCGAAAGATTCGATACGCAGGGGAGACCGGAAGCCTTGGGTTTCTCACGCGCGAGCCAGTTATTTTAATGAGTTGGAACGCGGGGACAATGAGGGACTGCGTCTTTATGTAAGTCGCAAATGAATGGACGAATGCATGCTCGTGTTCTGTTCGAACGTGATGAGAGGCCAACGAACCGGGAGACAAAAAATACTCGACTCACGGTCGGTTATACGATATCGAGCTATAACATATCGACGATCGGGGCCCGAGGGGATGAAGACCTTGAGGAATGTTGCTAGGAATGATGATTCAGCCGAATCTGGAAGTTTCACGGTGTGAAACCCTTTTTTTGTCGTCGGATCCGTCGGCTCGAGCCTCGATCGGACTCGAGTATCGAGTACCGAGGGGGGTGTGGTGCGAATTACGAGTTGAAGGATTTCCTCGTTCCCTCCCTCGCAATCAGTCACGGGGGTGACGTAACCCCGAGGGAGCGAATGCGATTCGGAGAAAGAGAGATCGTGACGTCCAACCCGGTTCAGACCCTCCTGGGAGATGGAGAAGAAAAAAAAAAAGAAGTCCATTCATTCATTGAAGAAATCCCAGACTGTCAGTGAAAGTCTCTCCATTCTTCAGCACCGCTCCATTTTTATTCATCAGGTTCTACGTGGAGAGCATCTCGCAACTCGAGGACCCCCACACGGTGGAAGTCTTCTATCTCCAAGCGAGAAGCCTCGTCTTCAATGTGAGTCTCGTTTGCTCGTTGTTTTTGGGGGAGGGGGGGGGGGAGGGAGAGGGACCTCCCGTTCGTTTCCCTCCCCCCTCATCCCGCTGGGCGCGGATTGGTGATGCAAATTGGGGCCCCACGGGGGAGCGGTGTAATGTGTTGTCTCCTTTGATGACGGTCCGGCCCCCGAAATGATGGCTTTCGTAAGTCGGGCCTTTCACAATCGCGGGGTATGATTCTGATGACCGGGTAATCGGCTCGATTTCTCGGGGCCTTTCACATCTGCGGGTTTAGGTTCATTGAGAGAGAAAGACGTGGGGAAAAATGAATGCCTCGTCTGACCTTGAACGTATAATTCATCGCATTTCCCCCTCCGAGAAAATAAATTTCACCCTCAATTTGTGCCCAAAAGCCGAATAAATCTTGGCGGTCTTCACCCCCCTCGGCCTGTTTCCGAGAAATTTCCTATCCAGCCCCCGTCTCGTCCCGGAATGCTTTTCTTTTTCTCATCTGAATCGAGAGAGGGGGGAAGGAATCCGCGCCCATTTCCCTTTTCCTTGAACCAATATACCTGGCTCTGGGTTTACTGCCGGTTTCTAGGGCAGGTAGGGAATTGCGGAGCGGGCTTTATTTACCAGATAGAAGTAGGGCTATCGCTTTCCTCGTTCTATAAATGGAAGGGTCCCAGGAGAATAATATGGTTCTCTCTTCCCCCCTCCTTCTCCCCACCGGGTCCCTCTTCAGACCATGAAGATGGAGGCGAAATTGCCTCTTGAGAGAGATTGTGGGAGGGCGGAAAAACTTCAGTAATGGCACGTGTGACAGGTTCTCTATTATCTACGCCTCTCTACAATCTCTTTAGGCACCTTGGGGGCAGCAAACCCTTCCTTTATAAACAAAGAAAGGGGTGAAACGGTTCTCGGGGAAACGATCCGAGGGTGTTTTCGTTAGGATGAGTTTTCATTTTCGAGGAAATCTTCAGAAACGGATCGGGAAGTGTCGTGGGAAAGTAGTTTTTCCAGCAGCTGGAGCACATTCGGAAGAACGGTTCTCTTCGGTTTCGTCGGGGAGAAGACCGAAGAAGAAAAAACCGTGCAGCACCTGCCCCGGGAAGACGATAATCTTCGGGTTGCTATAAAAAGACCGGGGGGGCGGCGGGGGTCCACGCCTCGGGGCAGGCGATGCGCGTCCCGTCTCCGTCTCCCTCGCCCAGGCCCGGCCCCTACGATCCGCTCCCCCTCGGCCCCGGTCATTTCGACGAGTGCCGGCGGGGTGGAGGCGCGACGCGCGAGTTGCAGCCGTTGTGGACCTCCTGCGTTCTCTTCCCCGGCTCGGTGTTCCTCTCTCGCTCGTGCTGGGGTCGGAGCCGTGCGTCTCTGGTGAGTCGGGGTGTATCGTCTGCGTTCCTCGCGCGTCGGTCGTGTCTGTGCGTGGGGTGGGGGCGTCCCTGCTGCAAACAGGTGGCAGCAACGCGTGCAGGGGGCATTTGTAGATCTTAAGCGAACGACCGTGGGAAGAAACAGAAAACAGCGCTGATGCCTTTTTTTTCCCTCCCCCTCTGGGCTCATTCCCCTCGGTGGCAAACACTCTCTGTCACGGCCGATTTCCTCTGCTCGCCCATCCACGTCTTCATCTTTTCTGACGCTGGTCCTGTCGTCTGCTGGACCGAGTGAACGACCTCGTTTGACCCCCGTGTGTGTGTGACCGTGGTTTCGGCAGGGTATAACCCTCGTTTACCATGCCATCAAATGGACATGCATGAGCAATCCCCCCGGGATATGCACCGAGGATCAATGCAGCGTCATTCGTTGCGGTCTTTTTCAGTTTCTACTCTCTTGAGGGGAGAGGGAGAGGGAGAGGGAGAGGGAAGCCTGGCATGCTGGCACGACACGAATGCTCGGCTCGCAGGCTATATAAAATAGCCCTTGTTCCCTCTGGCTCTTACGCGAAACACCGACCTGCCCAGTGATTGCTTGACCTTGAAATACCTCGTTCTTTTTATATTACCCGGGGAGAAGATTTTCAAGTCTTCTGGAGGGTCCGGCAGGTTCCTGGAAACCGGTCCAGTTCATTCAACTCCGTGTTGGTTGTTTTTCAGGGAGAAAAGTGGGGGAGGGAGAAGAAAGAGACGTATAAATGTGAAGTGATGCCGATATGCGATCGGTAAAGTAATTACTTTCTATATTGGGTAGCCTACATCGCGATTCGAGATGGAGTATAGGTCGCGTACCCATTGAATGGCATTAGTTTTGAATGTGTAGGAGGAACCGGAATACAATGGGGCGTTTTTTTTCTATTGTGGGTCGGATGGACCTGTCATTTTATACGCGTGTATGAAATATTCCCGTCGCAGTCGAAGTGGGTGAGTGTACCGATGTGTTCCGGTTATAAGAAGACCTCGAAAGAAAAAAGAATGCGAAGAGAAGGAAATGTGAGGAGAGAAAAGAGAGACATGAGCGATGGGGCATGCATGTCATCTCATGAGATGAAGCCGGATGATAAGGACTCCAGATTTCTCCCCCTCGGGCCGTCTTATACGCCAGATATCCATCCTGCATTCTCCTCTTGTTATGCCTTTTTTTTCATCTTCCTGTCCCTTCCTTGTTCCTGATTCATGAGATGGGGAAGGGAATCCCTGCAGGCGGTGGGGGGATCCTGCGGTTCGAGTTTGTCCCGCGAAACTCTTTTGGAAAGCCCCATCTATCTTCGCCAAGGGGGTCAATTGATTCCGCTCGCTGATGAGAGACCGGAAACTTTCTCCCTCAGCTCCGACCGAAGTGGATTTCTGGGAATGATGTCTGTGGTCGTTGAGGAAAGAAAAAAAAAAAACTTTGCCGTAATTTGGGAGACTTAATCCGTGCGCAGGACCTTGAACAGAACCTCTCATTTTGAAAGTTTTTGCGTCCTGTTGTCAGCGGCTTTGCAAGGCCTGTAATTGAAGCTCATGAAGGCTTGAGGCCCCTGCCATTTCTCTTTTCCGCGTCCATCCGCCCCCTCACCGCGTGGGAGGACATCATCATAATCATCCGAGTGGTTAGTCTCTGCGGTGCATAATACTTATGATATTGGAAAATTTGCCCCTTTCGAAGGGCATTGTGCCATCTGATTTCCCCTCATTTATCCCCCTGGTGTCCCCTGCGGGCCCATTCCCGCCCCCTTTGATTTCCCCCTTTCTCAATCGACGATTAATTGCGTTTCGATTATTGATGAGCCGCCTGGTAAAAAAGTGATTCATGGGGTAGCAGAAAAAGGCGCGAGTAACGCGAAAAAGGAAAAGGATGGAAGCCGGAAAGCCGGCTTCCATCCCCGACGCCGACATGATGGAGATGAGACAGGATGTGGATTTCCTTTCCCTAGTCTTGATAAAATGAAAAAAAAAAATAAGGAAAAGCTCTTTGGTATCGCCGAGGCTTATTTTCTCCGACTTCTACGAGTGCTCCCTCCCTGCTTTTTTGTTTCTCTCAGGGTGATATGAATAATGCAGGTCTTTAGGAGGGAAATGAAGCAGGTGCATAATACGGGTCGTGAACCTGGACATTTCTCATCCTCTTTTTCCGCCATTACCCCCTCTCCCCACAGGAATGTCCGACCCAACTCGAGAATTTCCCTTGCCCCAGAGCACACCCACTTTCCCACGGGGGCACTGGAAAACCAAAGCAAAAAAGGAAAATCCCCGATAACTGTGGATAGGAACACGAAAGGGAATGCGGATCACCTGTTCCCAACGGGGTAATCTAACACTCACCCTCGCACCATGGGGTAAAGACCGAAAGTCCCTCCGACTTCCGGTCCTCCGGAGACCAACGTCTCCATTAGGGCCAAAGGAGAAAAATGACTTTTCCCTCTTGCGTCTTTGTTAGGAATGTGGAAAGAGTCGATGACCCCCCATCCTGCACACCGAGAAAACTCGACGAGGGATCCGAGTTCTCGCACGTACGAGAGAAGAAAACTGGATCAGATAATCGCTGGTCCGTGAACTCATCACAATCGCAATACATGAATCGGCGCAACGAAGCGAGGAAATAACGGTGGAAACATTCAGCATTCCTTAAACGTCTTTCCAGCCTCTGGGTGGGGGGGGGGGGGGGGGGGGGGGGGGGGGGTGGACCCGATGGAGAAACGAGTGGCGGATCCATGCGAAATTCGGCACGCTTCGGCATTTCTCCCATACAGGACGGTTATGAAACTCGCTGGAGTCGAGAGGGAACGAGAAGGGAGTCTGGGGGGTTCGTTTTCACGGTCAGGAGTAACCGAGAAGTCGACCGGACTTCCCGCCGCTGTTGTCCCGGGAAACGGAAGAAAGGAGATTGCGTTTACGTACTATTGGAGTGTAAATTCTCCACTCCTTCATTTCACATGCACAAAGCGGGGGTTCCTCGGGAGGGAAGAAAAAAAAAAGCCCTCTTTTGCTTCAATGGATGCACACGGCCGCTTCTCCAGAACCGAAATCTGACACCTCCTAGACGGTCCACTCGTGAAAACAAGCCCGTATATTTTTCGTTCCTTAGCGTGTACCTGTAGTTTGCAGATTCACAGTCCGTACTCGCTTTTCCCACGGGAGTTCCAGTTCTCATCGTGAGAAAGTTTGTTTTTCTCTCCCGGCTCCGGGATGGATGAGAGTCGAGCCCGGTAATGAGGGGCCTCCGTCATCGTCCTAATGACAGGACACCCCGTTCATTAATCAGGAGCAATTAGTAATCACACATCGCCCCCTCGGGTCCCTGTTTTTTTCGCCACTGACTCAGTGTTTTTTCCCCTCATATTTTGCAGGGTCACGTGTTGGTTGAGAGCGACGTCGCCTTCCGTCTTGCCGCCCTCGCGTTGCAGGCCGCTGTAGGAGATTTCGCCGAGTAAGTGCCAAATTAAAAGTCTCGAAGCCGTCTCGTCCTTGATTTCGAAACACCAACCGGTTTTTTTTCTCTCCTGCAGTGAGGAAGGCACTCGGAATTCGCTGAAGAAGCTTCCATTGCTCCCTCTCGCCACTCTCGCGGAGCACCCTTCTCTCTCGTATTGGTAAGTCCCCGTTTCGCCGATAAATCCTTGGCTTTGAATTATTCAACAACCTGGGAAGACCAGCCTGTAATTTCCTCTCGACATGGTTTCCTTCCTTGGGGAGGCTAACGAGAATGAACGTTATAATATTATGCATCCAGGGCTAGCGTTTTTTCTTTTCTAAAGACTCCCGAGGAGAATTCCAAGGTCGAAAACGAGAACAAAGAGATGGTCGGTATATTATCGAACTCATTTCTTCATGCCTCCTGGCTCTCGATAAGCCTTTCCCTTGATTTGTCTGTCTCTCTCGTGCCGAAATTACTACCTGCTTTGTGTTATCGGAGCGCGCGTTCGTGCAAAGGTTCTACTTCGTTTGGCTCGATCGATGATCGTGTCTGGAGGGAGGAGAAAAAGAGAACACCTATGAATGCTTTGAGATGAAAACATGCCAAGGAGCGAGAAGGAGAAAAAAAAAAATCTCTCCGTCATCGGAGTTAATTAAAAGTTGTGCAGAGGTCTGACAAAGAGCATACCTTTCCCCTTTTTTGTTGCTGTTCCATGGGAAAGAGGATCTGATTGCATTCTACTTGCACTTGTCCGTCTACTCCGCCTTTGAAAGACAAAAAAAAAGGTGGAAACGATCAGATAAGGACACGGGACAGTAATGAGTCTTACAATGATATCTTTCGAGAAGATCGCTGGGTTGGAATATACGCGTGAGAATTTCCCGCTTTTCTTGCGACTGGGAAGAACGTTTCCTTTGACTAATGAAGCTCCTGGATCGTCGTGACCTCCCGTGAGAATTTGTCACGGGGACAGATCCTCTCCTGTTTGGCCAGTCCCCTTACGAAAACCATTCATCACGCAGTTTGAGGTTTTTGGAGAGTTTTCCTGGGTTTGGGGCTGGAGATGAGACAGGCGGGATGCGTTGGCTCGGTCGTCCCCTCGTGATGGGGAAGTCGTGTTTATCCAAGCCACCTAGGAATGGGAAGGAGAGATGACACCACGGAGGTGTGCAGAATAACGAGGTGTCTTTTGACAGATGGATCACCTCCTGTCAGTCCTGTGGGGGGGTCCGTAGGTATTAGATATGACATCTTGTTTCCGCCGGACGTCGAGATGCTTGGCATTCTTTTTCTCTTCCCTCCACGTAAAAGTCGAGTGCTCTCGAAGTCCAAGAGTGGAGCCCTCTTCCCCCCCTGCAAAAAATCCCCCTTGCATTTTTCAAGAGCTATCGATTAGGTATAGGGCCGTTGAGATTCCTTTTTATCTGGAAGCCATATTATTAACCGGAGGGGGAGGAGGGAGAGACGGCAAAAAAGCGGCTTTTGGTATTACATAGAGAGTAAGGATATCCATTATTGACAGAGGGTGGCGGACAGAGCCCCCTGTCTTGGAATGCAATGCAGTGCAATGTGGCCCCATCCATTATCGGAGGAGGGGGAAAAATGATGACCCCGCTGCCCTGGGAGTCATTTGCCATAACACTTCACGGTAGCATGTCTAAAAAGAGGGGGGGGAGACGTTGTTGTAGTGCCTATCTTTCCCACTATCTACCTCTACCCCCTGGGCTGGGCTTGGACTCTTCTACTACCTACCACCTACATCCTATTCGCAGGGTTGCTCAAAGGGGATTGTTATCGATCGAGATCTACCAGTGTCGGTAAATAAAACCTGTCAGATGGAACATTGACTAGTTTTATTCCGAGATGTCAGATATTCTCTAAATTCATTCCCCTCTTCAAATCTGTACTGACTTATAGAAAAGAGAGAAAGAGCTGCAGGGGAGAGACTTTCAGGGCTCAGATTTATTACGTTGTCATATTCTGTATATGTAAATTTCGAGCGGCGGTTTTTCTGTTTATGTCACGTGCAGTTGGTATGTGAATGCGATCACCCGATGAGCAACCCTGCTGACGTGCCGGAGGAGAGCGGAGGGCGGGGAAGGGGCCTTTGCCTGGCAGTCGTGCGTTAGCGAGGCCCTCGACCGCACCTCTCGTGCTCGCCTCCTATCCGCGTCTCGGTTTCCTCGTATTGTGCGATCTTTTTAGACATGTAGCCTCATATCGCGTGCTCTTGTTGAACTTTGTGCCTTTGTGTTGGGTTATCGCAGTGAGGACCAAGTGATCGAGCACTATCGGAGGCTCGTCGGACTCACCCGTGGAGGAGCCATCGTCAAGTGAGTCACCCTATTTCGTGCCTTCTCTTTCATCAACGTCTCCGGCGAGTTTCATAACCGTCCTGTATGGGAGAAATGCCGAAGCGTGCCGAATTTCGCATGGATCCGCCACTCGTTTCTCCATCGGGTCCGTCAGGAAGGCAGTGAAAGCACAGCCACAGGCCTTGGAAATGATAATACCTGTAGTAATTCCGTGTAATACCAGGGGAAATGACGGGAGAGGAGGGAAATGAGGGATGCCAATATATTTTTTTTTCGTGCCCTCAGGCCAGGCATGAATGTCCTCTTCTTTTGTGGGAGGAAAGCCTTGCATGCGTGACAACATGTTGGGGGCCCTGAGGTATTTTTTTTATATTCAGGTCTCCTCGGTCAGTCGAGTGGAAGACGCTCTTTTTTTAAGCGTTCTGTATAGGATGGGGACAGGGGTTGGTGCGGTTCCTTTTTTTTTTTCTTTCAAAAAAATTAATCACGACTGAAATTTTTTTCTCCCCTCTTCTCTGCGGGGAGAAATGAGTGACCGTTGGCGAAAGAGTGTCAGTTGGCCCACAGATGGACCTCAGCGCGAGGTGGGGATTTCTTCCAACGAGATGCTAATGACGAGAGCAGAGAGGGAAACGAATGAGTTTAGTCGTGAAGTAAGCTCGACCCGGGAAGAGGTGCGAGAGGGACCCCACGTGGGCGTCTTCCTCTATCTACAGAGACGATTATATCGGCCTGAGAGAAGTCTCTCATTTGCATGGATTGATGACTCGACGTCTTCCTCTTCGTGAGAAGACACTCCCCGAGCGAATGATCCCCCATTATAAATCCTCCCTGCCTCCCCGTCCAGCTGGCTTTCGTTCTTTTCGGCCTATTCCTTTTCTCAAAGAGCCGGGAGGAATTCCATCGGAAGTTCGGCTCGGTTTTCTCCTCTTTTTCCCCCGCTTTCGATTCTCGTCTTCCTCCCCCCCTCTCCTTTTTCCTTCCCCTCTTCCTTATCGTGCACGAAAGGATGTTTGTTACAACGCCGAAGAGAGTTTAGTGCCCGTTATCGTGGAAAATGCCTGTAGATTGATTTACTCATCGCCTTTGTCCCTCTGCCTACACGCCGCCCTGATTACATCTTTCCGGAATCTGGATGACTTCGAATTGTTTTGAAGGATCCTATGGCATGCCGTCTTTCTATGAAGTTTTCGCCGATTTCTCTGCCTTCCTGCTTGACCAACTACCTGCCTCGATTTGGGCTGGCTTTTTTTTAAACTATCGGGCGTGTCTCCCAAGATTTCTTTAGCCGACTTTATTTTTCCCTCATTTAACAAGCCCTGGAATTGAGGCGTTTGCTGTGTAATTTATAGCTTCCATTCTGCAGAGGAGAAAATTGGGTGGACGGTGAGGAATTCGTCCTTGTTTACGGGGGGGGGGGGGGGGGGGTTTTTTTGGGGGAGATATTTCTTTTTTNGATACAGCCGAGAAGCAGGGGGGGGGGGGAGGGGGGGGGGGGTGGTTTCTATTGGAGGAGATATTTCCTTGTTGATGTCGTCCTTCGACGAACGACCGAGCTCCTCCCTCTCAATATTGCTTTTTTTTTTCGTGCCAGTTATATGCGATTGGTGGAAGAGTCTTGCGGGGGATTGACGTGGGGCGTGCATTTCTACGAGGTCAAGGACAAGCGAGGGATTCCCTGGTGGCTGGGCCTGAATCTCAAGGGTATCGCCCAGTACGACCACTCGCATCGACGCACTCCACGGAAGGTGAGTCTCGACGAAAAAAGGCAAAGAGAGTGAGGGGGAGAGAGAGAACAAAGGGAGCGGGGGGGAATGAGAAATATTATAGGTCTATGTACCTGAGCAGTGAGCTGCACCCCCTCGACTTCTTTGTGTTCCGAGATTCACAACGGGAGTAAAGCGTAGTATTTTAAACCGAAAATGTCGGGCTTTCGATTGCTCGATGTTACTGCATGCGTTGTAAATGAACGTTGGCATGAATGGATGAGGGATTTAAAAGTCTTTTGATGGAGGCGAGGATGTGATGGGACTACATATGGACAGGATTCGATGGCTTCGTTCCCCCGAGGATACGTTCTGGACGTTCGATTTTAACGGAATTTCTCCGCGGCTCACTTTATAGGCCCCGCTTGGGGCTATCAATATACAGGGCGATGATCCTCATCTGCGAGGATCTTTCCCAGTCTTCGATGTTAGTGACTCTTCCCCGATGGTCATCTGGGAGAAGGATGAGCCTGACCTTTGTCTCTCCTTTTTTTCTTTCCCTCTCCTTGGCGTGGGAAAGAAATGGCTTCTGTTTTCTCCTCCCCTCCCCCCTCTTCCCCCTGTGTATTATGGCTTTGTGTACAGCAGCCCGATTCGTCCCTTTCAAAAGCCATGTGTGGGGGCTCGTGGAAATAAGGAAAAGAAAAGGAGGTCTCGTCCGAGACTCATCTCGCTTTCCTAGCCGAGCTTAATCAGTCCTCGGGTAATTGGGTCCAGGCACGTGCTGACGAGAGACATTAGGAGTGGTCGACCAACAAAGCACAGCGCAAGAGCCTTTGGGTACTTTTTCTTTTTTTTTGTACGTGTTCACGAGGGTCAGGTAGAGGTTCAAGGCCTTCCTTCACGCAGTCGCCACTCCTCACGTCCAAGCAATTATCCAGTTTTTATCTCCTTATACAGAGAGATGAGTAAATATCGCGAAGGGATACGAGGTGGAGGAAATCCGAGAAGGAAAGGCATGCTCGAAAGGCGTACATTTTTGGGAGAGGGAAGAAATTCATCACGGACGTGTGAATGGCTTGAAGGGACACACCTTTCTTTTTGTTGCGATATAGAATTGAAGAATGGGGGATATGGAAGCGACCTTGGCTGTGATCATTGTGCCACGCGTGACGAATCTCTTGAGCTTTACACTTTTTATGCAGTTGGGGGATGCACGTCAATGTAGGCCCACCGGTTCGGGTTTCTCAGCTATTCCGTGGCGTGCCGGAGCTCTTTAAAAGCTGTTGCAAGACACCTTTGTGTGATGGATTCGCTTATGAAAATGAAAAGAACCCATGGCGGAGGGATGAATAGTGTTGATGGATATGAAGATGAAATAAATGTTGGAAGAAAAGCCGTTTGGAATGTGCCCGAAAACCAGTGATGGTGTGATTGAACGTGCGTTGTTTCCGGCCCGACTTCCCTTCTACAACTCTCGAGAAAGGGACAAGTGCATGTTCACGGAGCGCCGATTAGTTTACTGATAGGAGGAGGCCAGAGAGCACTCGAGGTTCGAGCAGTAGCGGACATGTTCCCTTCCCGTTGAGGGTTAATGTGTAACCCTGTCATTCCTGGACTTCCTTTTCTTGCTTTTATCTTCCCTTCTTCCGTCCCCGATGACGGCAAAGCACCGGAATCCGGTGCTACCGGTCTGGTTTCCTTCCCTTGAGGCTCATTCTCGGAAGATGAATGGTCATAGTGTTATTCCTCGAAGACTGTCACACTCTCGCGGGGCTGTGCAAACGAAGAAAGCCGTTGGAAGAGAAGTGGGTGACTAGTGCAAAAGGGTAGGGTGAATGGGGGGGCTGCTGTTTGATATGCCGAGTCATTCTCGCCCTCATTTTCTCCTTTCGTTTCTCATTCAAATTGCTTAGGTCCAGACATAAAACGAGGGAAATTCAGGAATCATTCTTATTCCGACTCACGTTTTCTATGCGTGATTGTCGTGACAGGTCTTTCAGTGGAAGCAGTTGGAGAACCTCTACTTTCGGGATAGGAAGTTCTCCATCGAAGTACACGATCCAAAGAGGTGAGTGAAGAGTCGTATTCATGCATGCATATTTCCTGAGTTTGCATGCCGTTTTCACCCTCTAAATATGCATGCTCTGTGGGATGGGATGTAGTAGTGACCTATCTGGGGATGAAAGTGACGGAAAAGAAGGAGAAGCATCTTGGAATTCCTTGGAACTTCGGCCCTGGGATATTATCCCCTTTTCCTCTCCGTCTTCTCCTTTCTCGTGAGTTTTCTCTCCATTTAGTGGGCATTGGTTTCTGTCTCGCTTTACAAATGTGCGATTGTCACTGGTTCACGATTCTGCCTGCAACATTTGTGGGATTGCGAACTCGGTTGTAAAGCCGATCAGCCAACTGTTGAGAAATACAAGGAAGAGAGCTATGTACTGAAGTGATTGTCGTCATTGCCCTGACCTTTCTACATGTTTGCATGAGAAGTATTTTCTTGCATGCATTGCATCGATATGAGTCAAGGACTTGAATGAGAGGTGATTACCAGGAGTGCGCTCGTGTGTATTTGTTTGCATAACCTGTTCACCCTTGGCCCCTCTCATCCTCAGTGTTCGTAGAGGCCTCTAACTGACTGATGCAATCATTCTGGGATGTTAACATTTGAATTTCCAGAGGAACCGGGAGACGCGGTGGTCCAGTCGCGAGTCCGAGCGGTTTTGGTCCTGGCAGCGTGACCGTCCACGTGTTCCTGGCCTCCAGCCAGGCTCTGACGAAAGTCATCTGGTCCATGGCCATCGCTCAGCACAAGTTCTACCTCGATCGCAAGCATCCCAAGGTAGCGAGGGCTAACTTTCTGGAAGTTGTGGAAGAGAACGCTGGTGGAGGCCTCGTGCATCATACAGATTTTCATTTGGGCACGCAGAGGAGCAATGGGAGGCCTCTGCCTGAGATAGCGGCAGACCTGTCCAAGAGTTGCACCTCTCTGTCTGTCTCCGTCTCGGGGTCCAGTTCGGCGTCGAACCTAAGTCGATGCGGAAGTTCTCAGTCACTGTCCTTATCCAGCTTTCAAAACTCTGGTAAGTTCCGAATGGTCTAACGATTGTACCATTTTTGCCTTTTCACAAGATATGCAACTGGAGTTTTTTGTTTCCTGCAGAGGACTCTATTCAAAGTGAGACGAGTAAAGCAGCCAAGATGGAGATGTATGCTGCATTGAAAGCTCGAAAGGAGGCCCTGGAAGCCAAGCTCAAGGAGAAGACCGAGGCTCTGAAAATCCTCTGCCTGAAAGAGGGGGAATTAACTGGGGAATTACCTTCCGAGTATCCATTGGAAGCCGGAGAAATGCCCCCTCAGGTCCGCAAGAGGATCGGCACAGCTTTCTCATTACCTGAGACCCTCCTCATGAAACTCACGTCGCCGGTGAGATAACGATGACAGTTTTTCGCTTTGAAATGAAGTAGGTCGAAATCAGTTGAATTCCAGTATTTGCATCTGTAACTGAAGTCAGGAGTTTACTGGCTATTATGTTATGAAAGCTGCTCCTCCAGTCTGATAGTTAAACGTATATGTGAGTAAATGAAGCTTCTTGTATTGTAGGATGAAGAGGCGATCACATCACTGGAACTAGAGTATGAGATCCAGAAGCGTATTACATCGGCTGCCCTCAAGCTGGCAAACGACAGCAATGCCAAGAAGCGCGTGAGGAAGCAGAGACGTCAGGTGTATCAGCAATCTCTGGAGAAGCTCGTGTCTCTCGAGAACAAGATCAAGGGAATGAAGTCGGGTCCCGGGCTCGGATCTGGTCCGGCATCTCAGTCCACCCCTAACATGATGTCCAACCACTCCTTCTCCTTCCAGAAGTTGAAGAAAAAGCCACGACCTCGAACCGAAAGTGCCAACAGTGAGTGTTGACGTTTTTATCGAGGGTAATGCCATGTATATATGTTTTGGATGTCTGATGCAGGAATGTCTATATCATCTTAGGCCTGGACTTAGCGGATGGAGGAGTGGTTTCCTTGTCGCATTCCCCTCGACCTGGGAGAAGGAGCCATTCCACGGATGCATTGGACATTGTTACCAGTCCTGACCTGAAGGTTGAAACCAAGGAGGGGCAAGCAGGGCAGATCCCTGCTCCTCAGGTTCGGGTCTTGTCTTTATGACATAATGTCACTGATGATGTAATAATGATGGCAACTGTTACGCTTGAGATCATATTATTCCAGGTGGAGAGGAGAAGCCTGACGCCACAGCCTGGTCTGATAGATAGCAAACCTATGACACAGACTGAGAAAATAGAGGCCAGGTCTGTGCAAACATTATTATGGCATTTGTTGGCTTTGTGAAACTGAATTTCTTCATTCTGTTTATTGTATCTTCTTACTCTATGATAGCATTGAATTTGTCTTTTGTGGCAGCTTGGAGAGGAATGGGTACATTCCCAGTTCAGTATACTTGAACTCATCTTACAGAAGCCAGACATTCCCAACACTGAGTCAGAACCTTCAACGACAGGCAACATTCAACTCTCATGCTAACTATGCTGATCTCAGTCAAGGTGAATATTTGGGATTCAGACATGGAATATTTTCTCTTTGTTTTGTGAGAATTGGTGTGATGACTCCATTTCCCCCCCCCCCCCCCCACATGATTCAGGAGTGAAGTATGAGTCAGGATGCCCAGTTGATGCTTCCAAGGCGGGACTGTACAATCTGCCTAGACAGAGGGCCAGTGTGGCTCATCAGAGCCTGGACAACTTGGATCAGGCAAATGTCAACCAGGGAGATGATGCCACTCTAAATCCCCAGCAGCCTGAAAGTCTTCAGAGGTCAGCACTTGTTCTCATCCCTTTATCTCAGAAAAGACAATTGCAGGTGATTAATCTGTGTGCTTCTTTGCAGATATGGAAGCCTTGATCGTCGCAAGAGACCTCCTCTCCCTCATCCATCACTTAAGGAACCAAGAGGAGATGCAAGAGACCTGATGAATGTGACTGCCGACGTCCTTCCGTCGTCCTCGTCCTCGTACTACATGCACGTGTCTGACCCCCGTCATCAGTTCAGGCGTTCCCATAGCCACACTAATGGACTCAGAGCCCACCATCTTCACCGACATCGCATCCATCCCAAGATGACGCATAGTATGTCAGAAAGTGTGATGAAGTTGAGGCCAACGGAGGAGTGCATTGAGCAGGTGATATCCAGTCTCGAAAGCATGGGCTTTCCCCTCGAGACGAGCTTCACGTCACACGTCTCCACATCTCGAGTGCTGTATAACAATAGTGCCCACGATGTGACGGCCCAGACCATGCCGAGGAGAAGACATCACCCCAGTTCCACTCACAAGGCTAATGGACTGCATATTCATCCACCATCACACCACGACAGTGTAAAGGCACGTGAGAAGCAGTGGTATGAGACTTCTTTGGATTCCCCCACTGCTTCTACGAGGATACCTGAATCGACTGGAGAAACTGTGTCACTGGACAGTGATGCAAAATTTGTGACTTCAAGTGCAAATTTTCCAAGTGTTGATCTTCATGGCTCCACCTCGATGCCTGTGAGCCTGGATACCATCGTCACAGCCGAACTGGTGCTGACCAACGGAGATCACGTAGACTCGCCGGGTGGTTTTTCCGTCCCGGCTCCATTGATCTCACCCGTTTCAGAGAAGAGCATATCATCGAGTGAATTGAGTGTTGCAAGTTCCATGTCTCGAAGTTCCCACGTACCCATCGAATGTCCAAAAAATCAGACTTTGATTACTCCTGGTCAATGGCAGCCAAGTCGTGAGGTCACGAAACCCTTTGAGATGGCTGACTTCTATAAGTACAGTACAAAGTTTAAGAGGCAACAGCAAAAGAAGCCTCAGTCATTGGGTGATATGTCTGGCTTGAATGCTAGTGCAAGCCATGGTGATGTCACCAATGGAACTTCACATGCCTACAAGACCCCACCTACCTCTCCTAATGGTCTAAATCGGTCTGTCCTATTTTCAGTTTTATTTGATTGAGTTTCTGCCATGATTAGTGTTTTTTTTAAATTACCAATATTGCATTGTGCAGGAGTGGAGTGATGTCCCCCAACACAAGCTTCAACTTGGATGGGATGGAGTCCCAGGCAGATGCCTTCCAACAGGAGATGTTTGCCTGGTACCAGACCAGTGGTACCAGGAATCCACCAGCTCAGTCACGGTCGGCGACCCTTGTCTGAAAAGAATCTGTGATGATAATTTCACTTCCAAGAACAAAACCATGTCTGCTCATTTCCCTTGGGGATCATTAAACACCGTGCAAAACTTTTCTACTCCTCACCAGCCCAAAGAATTTTTTCAACGTTCATGCTGAATTGAGATTATTTTGAATTGTGATAAACTTGGTTTTTTTTTTTTTAAACATTTCCATTTCCTCTCCATTTTAGGAAAGGAAAACTTGCCATGTAGTCTTTTGAGCCTTTTTTCCTTCTTCTTTTTGTTAGGAGTTATTTCTTAATTTTGTTGTTTTTTCTTCTGTAGGATATGCTATACTGTACAAGTGCCACAAAGAAAAGAGGATGGTTTTTATCAAGAGCTATCGATAATTGCGAGAATAAAATCTTTGGTTATTCTGTCATCATGCCTGGTCTTCTATTTCATGTCTGCAAGTGGAAATATGTTGCATAATTAAGTTCTGTGCAGTGGATAAAAAATATGTATTTTCCTAGTGGATATTGCTGATGTTTTGTTGTATTGCAAAAACTCACGTCTTCCTCACCGTCAATTGTAAACCCCGCCATTCCCTTCCCCGATGCAAAGTACAGGCTTGGTTTCTGCGCTAGCCCATCTGCTCATAGGATTCCATACCTCTTAATATCATTACAAAAGAATATGAGCAACGATTGATGCAATCCTCTATTAATTCACTTAGGAATCAAGGTCCAGACCCCCTGCCTCCTCACGCTGCAATCGACGAATGCATTCATAATAAAGACGTAACCCTTACCGCACACGTGCAGCCGAGAAGAATGGAAACGAGGCAGGGTATGCCACGACCGAGCCCATCCGTCATGAACAGCCGAATGGATCGTCACGCACGGCCCCCACTATTCACGGCGCATTGCGTGATATGACGATGGGAGGCAAGCGTGTCTTACGATTTTTTGGTCTCGAGCATCTGTTCGCAATTCGTCTTCGCGGGGAGTCCCGATGAATCGCCGAGCTGTCGAGTGAAAGCGCGAACGCGTTCGAATTTCCTCTTGAGGGAAGAATCGAAGCCGACTCGTCGCACCGCGAAACCCGACGCTTACGAAGGTGCCTGACGTAACCCGACCCGGCATGCACCTGCGTATCCACCCGGATCCGTGTCGCCGGCGTTCTCTGGGTGATAATCACTCTGAGTCATTCACCTGTTCCATTTTTATCATGCCTGCCCGCCAGATGTGGAAAATCCACGTCGGTCCCAGCCGAATCGGGACGCGTGGCGCGCGCATCATCTCGGACGAAACTCATTCCCTTCACATTTCCATTAACCTCGATTCGTAACATTGAAATTTCCGGGATCTCACCCCGGATATCATCCAGACTCCCCGAGAAAAAAAACTCAGCCTCCTTGGTGCTCCATTAATTCTCGTCGTCGGACCTCCCTTCCCCGCCCGCTTAGGTCTCTATGGGCTCCCCTCCCACCCGCTCAGGTCTCTAGCGCCTCTTCGCCATTCCGTTTTCGACCTCCAGTCTGCGTTTGGCTCTCGTCGCATGCACGTCACGTGAGTTCAGGCGCTCCTAAGGTTTTTTTTCTTCCGTACTTCCTGGTTCTGTGAATTCTCCTTTCGTAACTTGAAATATGGGATTTCATAATCGAGAAATAAACGTAGGGTCGAAGATGAAGAAGGTAGAATTCATCTCGTGCTGGAAGGTCAAGGCCCGACCTTCCGTCCTTGCCCATTAAAGGTCGTTTCCCTCCTTCATATCTAAAGAGAAATGAGAAAATAATTGAATCTCCCACTCTCCTTCCAGAAGAATATGGGGGGGGAGGAAAATCGATGATGGAATTGAATTTGGTTTCCGTTGAATTCCTCGTTCGTTCGGGGGGGGGGGGGGGGGGGGGGGGGGTCTGCNGGGGGGGGGGGGGGGGGGGGGGGGGGGGGGGGGGGGGGGGAAGGGCTCGTCCAACGAGATTAACCGAGTTCAACTGCACCTGGTATGGGTCCATTAAGGAAACGAGATTAGTTTAACAGCTTTAGCTCGCGACGCCCAAGGGAAAAGACGGAAATAGGCGAGCCTCTAGCTTTTTTTTTTGTTGCAGTCTGGCAGTCGTCTCTGGTAAAAAGGAACTCTTGGTAAACGAGCTTATCATTATAATATGTATGAATACCGATATCGATATCGTGGCTGCGACGTGGATTCCGCTTGCTTTTCCCGCCCGCGTGTTTCTGCCGACCTTCTGGGTTCTACGAAAAAAAAATGTTGCACGACGAAGGACTTGCGTAGGGGAGGGGGGAGGGGGAGAGAGGGGGGAGGGGCCTCTTTGAATGTTGAATATCTTCATTTCCCGTGCGAACAGAGAAGCGGGGATCAAACGTGAAATGTACAAAGTGGAGAGTTGGCGTTAATCTCGACACGGTTTTGTTCGGATTGAGATTTCGCGAAGGAATCCCGAGGAAGGAAATCGCAATTCGAGGAACCATTTTTTTTTTGTATCCTCTTACGATTACGGAAAGTGCGCAGCCGATGGTCCCTTCCATTCCGTGCAATGAATGGGTCGCGTTTCCTGGACCTCGTGGCAAATTCGTGGCACGGTTACCAGCACCGAGGTGAACGGCAACAATTGCGGCCTGAGGACTCCCAGCAAATTAGAAAAAGAGGACGCAGAGAAAGGAAAGGCAAAGGACAGGTTTCCTCCCCCTCCTCCTTCTCCCCTTCTCCCTCCTCCTTCCCCCCTTCTCCCTCCTCCTTCCCCCCTTCTCCCTCCTCCTTCCCCCCTTCCCCCCCTCTTCTCGGGTTAAAGGGAGGCGATGAAGTCGGAAATCCGTACTCGACTACCGGAAGTTCGTCGGTCCCGGCAGCGTCCGAGAGCCTTGCGGTAACTAAACCGAACGGTATCGGACCTCGTCGCGTCGGCAACCCGCGTCCGGCGTTCGCCGACCGTCGGCTTCGAGGCCCGGAAGCTCGGCGACTCGTCGACGATCCAAGACGGCGGGGTTTCGATTTCGACTCGGCATTCTCCGAATCGGCCGAAAACGCTACCAAAACTCGTATTTGCCGGAGTTCGAAGACAAAAGAAACCGTGAAATAATATAATAATAATTTAATAATATAATAATTATAATAATTATGATAATTATAAATCGGATGGGACGAAGAAGCGAGGAATCTCGGGATGCGGGACCCGCCTTGGAAGCCGTCCCTTTGGCCTGCGTCCGCGCTCGACCGACGTGGATGGAACCTTCACCTTTTGGGCTCGGCTGATCCATTAATCCACGATAATCCCATGCGCGCAATTATCAAGTCCCGTTTCCCCCTTGCCTCCATTTATGCTCATGTGTAGATTCACGCATTCGTACGTGTGCATGTGCATGTATATATTTGTTCGTGCGTATGCGCGTTTGTGCGTGCGTTTGCGTGCCTGTGTATAGACGTGCGTGTTTGTTTATGTTTGTGCGTGCATTTTCACGTGTGTGTTTTTCACGGACAGGTGAGACTCGGGCGGCAATCGCGCCACGTGTGGATCCCTGGCCCATAACCCTTGACCCTTGACCTTGACCCTCGACCCTTGACCTCGGATCGTTGACCCCCCTTTCCACGAACCATTCCGGCCGACATCCAAGTCCTTTTATCCGTCTCCCCGGCCGACGCCACACGAAGAATCGAAGGATCTCGAACCAACCATCCCTCCAAGGCCTCCCTCCAAGGCCTCCCTCCACGGCCTCCCTCCATGGCGTCCCTCCATGGCGTCCCTCTATGGCGTCCCTCTATGGCGTCCCCCGCCGCCTCCATTGTCCATTAAGCGCTCGGCTTGATGGATGCGAAAATCCTCTTAGAACTCTTTCGAGACCGCCCCGGCCTCCAAAAGAGTTAAAAGTATCTTCGATATAAAAAAAAAAGGCGACCTTGTCGGCTCACGTTTCCCGGTCGCACCCCCTTTTTGGCTTGAGGAAGAACGAATGCGAATCGCATCTGCGACTTTTCGTCACAAATCCCCAGAGATCATCGGAGAATAATGAGGAACTTCTCTCGCGCCCTCCGTCGATTCGCGGCTGCGATCAGCTGATCCGCGTGCGAAGTCGATGGTGACGAGATACAAATTTATTTTTACGCTTTGTTTATATTTATTTAATATGATGTATTTATTTCGTTATTCTTCTACCTTACGTCATGCTTCGCAGCCTCGAATACCCCGTGGCTTTTCCACTTTTCCTTTTTCCTCGGATCGATCCCAGATTCATCGACGTGCGATTTCCTCATCGTTACTTCCCACAGAATGCCGTGGGAAACAGCCGAAACTCGAGAAACTGGGAAGCGGAGACGCCGGCGTGCCCGAGAGCAAAATGTGCCGTGTGACGGGGAAGAAGTGAGCTAATAGGAATGAGCTAATAGGAATGAGCTCACTCCCTCCGCCCCTGAAAGGGGGAGGCGCTCAAAGGCGGAAAGCGGACCCGCGCAGATGACCTTGCCGGGGCGTCACGTTTTGGCAAGGTCACCGGGAGCAGTCGCTCGAGTTACCCAGGTAGGTCCTATGACGTGGGACGAGCTCCATTTATTTGGTTTATACCATACCATTTCAATTATTATTTTTTGTCTTTATTGGGTGACACGCATCAGATCTGCTTAACTGATCTGAGTTTAACTAACTAATCCTCTATGGGAATCCGTTTGACGTGGATCATCTTATTCCCATAGGCACCCATCATGAAACCAGATGTGTTTAAAGTTAAACGAATCTGGTGCATGTCACCCATCGACTCCACGGTCCATGTCACCCATCGACCCCACGGTGCATGTCACTCATCGACCCCACGGTGCACGTGAATCGATTGCATCGAGTCCGTTTCGTGCAGTGAATAATGAGATTATGATTCGCTGTTTCCTACTTTCCCTAGGTTACCGTAAAATGTTCGAGCTTTAATTATTACGAGGCTGCTAATTGTTAGATTAATGGCATGAAATGCGATCAGTAATTTTGATAAAAGTGTATTAATCACGACAGGTCTGGAATTCCACCCTGATATATTCGTTCCCAAGCTCCGAGGGCCCGCTCGAGGCGGCATGTTCCTTTCACCGATCCTCGTCCTATTCTGCGACGACGGAAATTGCAGCCGTGGGAAAGAGCGGGAAAAAGTGGTTCGCCGATGATTTGTCCGTCGTCGAGGCATGGGACGAGGAGGGATGAGGCATGGGACGAAGAGGAATGAGGATGAGTTTCTCGTTTGAAAAAGTGGGTTGCGTGCTTGAAGAGACGCGGCGTTTCGGCGACATCGGATGATGCGACGGTATCTCAAATACTTGCGACATGATTGCATTACGATTTTTTTGTCAGATATAGGGGGGGGGGGGGGGGGGGGGGGGTATAAGGGACATTAAAATTTGATGAAGCGAATACTTTTTGTTTAATTTTCTCGTTGGCAGTCCTAGTTACTGCTTCAACATGAGAATTAATCGTTAATGGAATGCAACTCTATTGGGAATAGGAAAAATCAGTAAATTCGTGGAAAGTCGGCTACTAAATTGAAATTTGCAAGAACGGATAGCACTACGCATCTTTTTCTCTGTTCTTCCTGCCATTTACTCCTACATTATATCTTTTTTTTTCTTTTGCTTCATCTAGGAATGTGGGCGTAAGTGCATTTTTCAGCGGTCCAGAGCACCAGGTGTTCCAGTACCACTTCCCCGAGGAATTCGTGGACTCATTACACCTTTGTCCTTGAAGGCGCTCTGAGCTCGTCCGGACGACCTTTAATCATCGAGCCGCCGACGGAGACTGCGCGAATCGCCTCGAAGCGGAAGAGAGCCTTCGGCGCTCGTCGGCCGTCGTGAAATCATGATCGGGTATCATGAAATCCTTTCATCGCTTGCCTCATCCGTTCCCATTTCCTTCGTGTGCTTTCTGATGAATAAACCGAGCGTATGAAATCGGGTCTGGACCATCTTTCCGTCGATTCCATGGGCGAGACTTCCAAATCGGTATGGCATGAACTGCCTGGAGCGAGCCAGGAATTCTAGTCCGCAGTCGAGGATACACCACTATAATTCGGGACAGGTGATGGTTTCATATAGCACTTAAGGGATCACTATGCAGTTGATTGATACGTGGCGTATCGGTAAAGACTATGACTACTGTGATTGAGATCCAAGGTTCGAACCCTGGCTGGTTTTGCTTTTTTTTTCCCTTCGGTGCTAGAAGCTCTTCAAGAAAAAGTCTACCAACTGCGTTAACCGACTTTTTTACCTATAATAATGACTATAACCTATAATAATGACTTGAATAACCCACCAACCACCGCTCCAACCACCCACCCTTGCCAGGTTCCTTATATTTATTCTTGGATTCAGAGAAGGAACTATCGACTGTCCTTTCCTACATTCGCACATTTTTATGTAGCTACTCAGGATTTGCTCTCCAATCGAAGTGAATATCAATCTAATTTCACTAAATGCAGAGAAAATTCATAAAAAGAATCAATACAATATCAAATTCAAAGGGAAACGTGAGATGACTTCCCGAGTTGGAACGAGCTGGAACTACCGCGATATCTGGTGGGAGCTTCGAGAACCAAGGTGTGCGACAGGACCATAGCCGCTTTCCTGATCCCGAAGACCCTATGTGACCATCGTCGTCGTAAGCAAGAAAAATGAGCCAACGGTCTTCCTCAAGTGCCGACTTTCGGCACTTCCAGTAGGATCGACACGGAATCGGCCGGGAATGCCGCAACTGGAAGAATCGTATCGTGCATCGTATCGTGTCACTCAAGTGACACGATACGATGCCAGGCAGAGCTAAACAGATCTACCGCAACTCGTGTAAGGCATAGTGAAATGGTGATAAAGTCGTGTAAAAGTGCGTCCGCTTTTGAGGAAAACGCAACATCGCGTTTGGTGTGTAGAACACACATTTCTCGTATCTTTTCTTAACTCAAGTCATGATCTTCAGGCCGAAGACCCAAATGTTTATGACAATGGTGGAATCCACGAAGTTCGTTTTCGATCACCCGAGTCCAGAAAAGACAGGATTTCAGTCAAAGCCTCACAGTCCGAAGGCGAGCTGCGTTAGTGAAAGGGGAAAGACACCACGGCAATGGCAAATGCCATCGGGAACCACGGATCGACCAGCTGTTCGGATGAAAGTCCTTGCGGCCGTCAGGTCCAAATGGAAGAGGATTCAGTGGAAATAGCGTTAGAGCGTATCCTGCACTTGCGACGAAACGAATCTCTAATTATTCCATTCCTGATTATAGGGGGTATTAGCGGCACGCCTCTGATGCCGTCCACACGTTGAAATAACTGTGATTTTGATTCATGGAACAAATACATATCGTTAGTTTTTTTCTTCATCTCCATACAATTTTTTTTTAAAACGCTGCTCCATCAAGATCTTCTCGTTCCCCAACGGATCGTCATTCATGTTCTTCTTACGGAAGAGCAATTAAAACGGAAACAGTGGATGGATGGATGGTCCATTTCTTTCCCTAGTGGGCACCTGCAATAGAAACTGCTTAGAAATCCTTCCATTACTTTAAAACCCCATAAAAACGCAGCAAGCTAATTCTACAGAACAAAAGGTCAAAGGAATATATTTCCGTTTACACAAATTTTACTAAAGCCCCCTTGCTCCCTGGAGTGGGAGAAGAAAGGTGACTTGGCCATCTTGAGATAAATTCGAGTGTTACTTTGCCAGACCAATGTGCAACAGAACTGATACTTCCCTCTGAATCAACTCGCTTTCCACAGAAAATCTAGGCGAACCCAAGTTAGGATAATTCATCCAGGGATTCAATGTTTCTTTTTCATGATTAACTGATAAGGTAATTGGTGATTACCGGATAAGTTACATATTTGAACTGATTTAGTTCAGATATGTAACTTATTTGGAAATCACCTCTTCTGTCTGAGTTTTGGTACTACTAAATTGTGTGAGTTCTGCTTCAGTTTGAAAATTCCATCCCAAAGATGTCCAGTTCGGGTCTAAATCTTTTCTATTTTAGACAAGGTATAATCACAGAGGGCTTTAATTGGTTTCTGTCACTGAGATGACCAATGCACAAAAGAAACTCAGTTCAAACCCAACATATTTTGGAAGCTTTGAAAAAGTATCCCGGCAAGAAAAAAGAACAGCACATAACATCACCACCACTACGCACTCATAAACCCATGATATCAGCTTATAATTCTTTTGAAACATGACCTTAAATGGATAGAGGAAGGCACACTTTTTCTATCACTGTTCTGCAATTCTTTTGCTCTTTTGCCATCGTACGAAAAGATGCTTAAATCACAAGTTTCCCATTCAAGCACTGTAGTTTCCCTAAATTGTGGTGGTTGCATTGATGAATGGAGCCTAATGGTTCTGGTACTCACATGCTTCGCCATTTCTGAGCGACGATTGATGCATTTAAAAATCTCTTCTTTTTTTTTTCAACATCCAACATGGCTGCTGCAAAACCCCAGCAATAGTGTGAAGATGATATTTCAGACCTTTCATATACAGATTCTGTAATAGAATTTAGGACAGCTTGGAGAAACATCCAGTAAGGTTGGAAAATATAAAATTAAAATTCCAAAAGAAGAAAGTTTTACATGTCCAGAAGCAAAAGTGGTACCATGTCCACCACTATGGATGTACAGCACCAGGGCAATTTTGTAGATTTCATTTTTACACTATATCTTTCAAACTTTGAGGCGGATTGGTCAGAGAATTTTATCTGCAGACAAGTTTAAGCCATGACAAGATGTCAATCAAGGTAAGAAATGAAGTCACTAAAAAATCAACCAAATTCAATAATTTTCTAGCAGTTCTTATATATTCTGGAATAACCCAGAGACTATGATTAATCTCAATTGAACAGTGCATCAGTAGATTGTGGAAGTATATGGACTTCCTTTGAGTAACAGGGAATGGGTTGATATGCTAATACCAAAAAAACAATTGATATGAAATAACCATTAAAAAGCGGTCTTAAATTACCTTCATGGCAAAATTTTGCTGAATAAAAAAAAACTGGATTTACCACAATGGACTTTATTGAACTTTAAACAGTTCACTCTGTCATATTCTTCAACAGCAGGAAGAGCAAAATGAGTATGCTCTACCTATTTGCCTCCATGAGTAACAGATATATGATACCTGACTGCAGAGGCCTGCCAGAAACCCTTCTTACATATGGGACAGTGACAAGGCATTTCTTCCATATGGGTTAGCATGTGGTTCTTCAATTGGCTAGCACGTGTGAAGCTCTTGTTGCATTGTTTACACACATGAGGTCTTTCTCCTGTATGGGTCATTTGGTGATCCTTGAGTGCACCCTTCCGCTTGTAGGTCTTGCCACACATATCACACATGTGCGGCTTCCCGACGCTGTGTGTGACGTCCACATGGTGCTCCAATTTGGAGAGGAGAGCAAAATATCGTCCACACAAGGGACACATGAACTTTCTTCCGCTGTCATGCTTCACCATGTGTCGGGCCAAGGTGTCTTTTCGTTTGAAACTTCTCTTACAGGAATCACATTTGAAAGGCTTTTCATTCAAGTGATACTCATGTGTTGTTATTGCTGATGTTATCTTTGTTATCATGGATGCTGTGACTTCAAGCTGTGGGGAGTCTTCTACTTCCTGGATTAGGAAAGAAAAACAAGTCAAGTTTCATAGCAGAAAATAAAAAATTTTGATACAACTTCACGAGTTCCAATTTTATAACTGGGCAAACTCACCTCCTCAAGAATGATGATATCATCTGTGACTATGATAGGCTCTTGATCAGCATGAATGATATCTGTCACTGTAGCTGTGCAGATTATTGGTATGACTTCTGTGTTCCCAGAAATATGAATTTTGGCATGTGTCTGCATCTGACGCTTTCTTGTGAATGTCTTGCCACACTGGTCACAGGAAAAGGGCTTCTGACTCAGGTGTCTCACTTGGTGTTCCTGGAGATGAGCATTCCTCTTGAAACTCTTCCCACATGTCTCACACATGAAGGGTCTCACAGTCTGATTATGAACACATTCCATGTGGCGTTTCAAAGTGATGTTGAAGGTGAAAGATTTTTCACAGAGTTCACAAGAATATGGTTTTTGACCTGTATGAATTAACATGTGTCTTTTGCAGATGTCTTTTCTCGTAAAGCCCCTGTTACAAACTTCACACCTGAAGGGCTTTTCATTTGGATCTAAGACTGGATTTGGATCTCCATTTCCTTTTGTTCTGAGTCCGTGAACACGTCTCATGTGACTGCTTAAATACGGCAAAAGCATGAAGCCACTCCCACATATTTCACATAGATGTCGTTTCTCCACAGGGTTGTGTGTGACCATGTGTCTCTCCAAACCCTCTTTCCTTTTAAACCTCTTTCCACAAGCTTCACAAACAAATGGTGCCTCATCACTATGAATCATTGCATGTCTTCTTAAGTAAGCCTCAGTGGCAAAGGTCTTCCCACACAGTCTGCAATACACAGGTTGGAGATCCTCTTTAGGCAGTCTTCTGACATTCTTCCTCTTTGTGTGAACACGATGAACTCCTTCGGCAGCTGGGTCATAGTTCTCACTGTAGTTGTACTCCACAGACAAATACTTCAAGGGAAGTGATTCATCTCTCACATGGATGTAATCGTCTTCAAATGGTGCTATTTTTGTAGATTGTACCATCGATCCATGAATACCAGTATTGACTTCCACTGCCTCTCCTTGGGCCGAGTCTTTGACAGAGTATTGAGATGGTTTCTGGAAGAATGAAGATTTCGCACAATTACCTCATATTCTTATCTCCCATCAGAAGCACTTTCAATTTTTAAGCATTTTGCAAACTCATGAAGAACAGCAGCAGATCTTCCTTTTCTCAATAATTACTGATTTCTTTCATATCTTACTATTGGTGTACAACTTGAGAAGTCCCCTGTACATGTTGGGGCATTCACAAAGTTCCAGATGGCACCATGTCAGCAACTAGAGCTGTCGGTTCCCTACCAACCTTTGTGGCTGATGGATCCAACCACACACAACCCTCCATCTTCCCATCATTGTTCGTCTATATTTACCAAATATAAATGAGAAATGAAGTTTTTGATGGTCGAAGACTGGAAAGATATGGCATTTTGTTCAATTAGGTGACAAAATGTGGGTATCCTTAACTGAAAAAAGGCCCATTACTGGACTGGGCTTGCCCAACTTGTTTCAGTTACATTTGAAAATTACCCTCAACGCCAATGAAATGAAGGGGAGGATGGAGGGTTGTGCATACTTGGAACCATCCATCACAAAGGTTGGGAGGGAACTGACAGCTCTGGTTGCTGACACAGCACTGCACCCAAAGTCTGGGTTGTAAATGCATTCACATAGTGATCCATATCCTGAAGGGCTCACGGGTACTCACGCCTTCCCCTCCATTAGCAAATTTCAAATCCAAAATTTGCAATAAAAATGCCAATTTAGGGGAAAATTCTCCACAAAACAAACTCAGCCTGTATCTTTTTAATTTCTACCTGACTGCCAATTCTCACATTGGTCAGGCCAATATTTTCTGTTATCGTCAGACAACCAAAGTGACACACGGATGGACAGGATGGGACCATAAGTGGTCTCTTTCCTTTCAGGAAAGAGGCCCACTAAAAAGAAGTGTGAAAAAGAAGAGGTGCTTCAATTCATAGAACCAGAAGTGACCTGTGCTCAGCACCATACAGAACCATTATGCTTCCAGATGCTTAACAATGCTGCCAATTGCAGCCATGTTAAGCACCTGAAAGCATAATGGTGCTGTATGCTGCTTACTTCAGACTCTCACCAAAACAAGAAGATTCAGGAGCTGTTGGAAATATACCATAGAACTCAATGGCAGAAAGTCATGATCTTGTTAACATATTCTCAATGAATCTAAGAATTAGCATCAAGAAGTTGTGAAATGATGCACAGCATTTTTTTTTGGTGATGGTATCCGAGAGTAACTGCTTAATTTTGAAGAGCTAGTTTAAAAGTGGATGAAGACTTTGCAATCACTGAAAATATGAAGACATGTATGACAACCACATGAGAGTCACTGAGGCTGAAGTAGGTAAAGTGAAGTTCTGCTTTGAAGATGGTAATGGTGAAATTAGGAATTCATATTTAGCACCATATTAATATGCATGGCAACAGAGCTTTGTGCACCTAATGACACATGCATACACAATTTATTTTCAATTGACATACTGCTTTGCACGTGGTTGACAGTTGCTGATCATCCTTGATTTCTACATCTGGTTCTGCAACACTCATCCTGCCAGCAGGATGGATGGACTGCTTCTCAGAAATACACCTTGGGATGGTTCTGCTAACTTTTACATACTTCCCATCATGAATAAATTTCTGCTCCAATGGCAATACAGAATGGAGTGCCTGATGTTTAAGCATCAATTCCTTCTTCATAAATAACTTTCCACAAATGTTACATGCAAAACTTCCATTTGGTGAATGTATGGTTTTCATGTGGAATCTCAAGCTTGCTGGGATAGGGAAGGATTCCCAACATATAGGACACAAATAAGGCTTCCTCTTGGAATGAAGTACTTTGTGAATCAGGATTGCTCTTCTTGTGCTGAAGGTATTCCCACATATACCACACTTGAATGGATCCCCATCTGTATGTGATATGAGATGTCTCTGCAAGTTCTCTGGAGATGAGAAGGTATCCCCACACAAGCGGCATTCAGCTGACATGTCAGTAGCAGATTCCTCTGCTGTCTCCTGCAATGGGGTCTGGTCAACTATATGCACTTCTTCTATAGATGGCTCTTCCACAGATGGAATGACTCTATCCAGCTCTTCTCCATCTTCTTTTCTTTCTGACACTTTAGCTATTTCAAAAGAAAACCTTTCACCTCCTTGAAGATTCCCATTCAATGGCTGATGGAATGGAAAGAGCTGATTCTCTCGGACGACTCTTTGGCAAATATTTGATTTGACAAGTTCAGCGTGTTGCTCCTCAGTTTGCTCAATCTGCACAAAGTCAGCTTCCACCTTCACTCCTTGAGTTTCTTTCTTCCCTTCCTTTCTGAGCTGTGAACCCTCACATACCTGAGAACAATCTGCTAAAGATGACTTCGCAGAAGGCAGATTTTTATCAGCATGGCTTTTGTTTTTCCTTGGAAGTTTCTTGATATTTGAAAACTGACTTTTCCCTTTTCTCTTTTGCCTTCCTTTTTTACCTTCTTGAAAGGAGTCCTCACCATCCTGAGATTCATCCTTTGGAATATCAGGGAAGAAACGCACCACCTCACACTCTAAATTTCTATGCTGTGTACCCTGTCTTAAGGTTTCCTTTCCAACTTCAGAAGATTGCACTAGCCTAACCACCTCTTCCTTCTTTCTTGGATCTTCCCTCTCTTCTTTTGTCACATGTAACTCCTCACATTCTATCTGAGGTTCCTCCACTAAGCACTTCTGGGTAGAAGACTGCTCCTTGATGACATTTTTGACAATCCTACATCTTGATGATTTTCTCTTTGGACTGCTTCTTGTCACCTGTATGCCAATGAAAATAAAAATAGAATAAATAAGTTTTAATTCCACTTTTATAAATCTTGCACTACTACCTCTTCCATCTGAAATGTAAAAAAAATTTGGGCTGTCATTCTGGCAGTGTTGAAAATAGTAATGTTTGAGTGGTCTATTCTGAGACTCAACATACAATAGCATGAAACATTAACTCAAAACTTTGAACTCAACCAACATCATAACCAATCTGTTCAGATACCATTTCAATTGAATTTTTGATGGAAAGTTTGAACTCACTTTGTGGCATGATGTTTCCTTACAGGCCTGCTGCTTGGATTGTGGATTCCTCCAGGATCTGGTGCTGCCATGGATGGATGGAGGTGAAGTAACTGTAATGCCATGATCCCCTGAGAATATGATGGTTATTGAGAGCATCAGTCAAAATGCAAGAGTCTGCATTTCACTTTGCTTCAACATCAACTTATTTTTTCTCACAACCCTGACAAACTATTTTTAGATAAACTCTCTTAAGCAACTAGTAAATCTCATGCTGAAACCTAATCGACTTACCAATCAGATGGCATACTTCATAAAATGGATTTCATAGTCCTGAAGCACAGAAATAGCAACAAGACATGAACAACTTAAAAATAAACTACATTCTTCGTGAAGGAAACCAATGGGATAGAATTTAAACACAAATGGCAGGCTCTACTTGGGCATTCTATCAAGTAGCTTAGCCAGATTGTTGCCAAGTAGGGTTGCCACCTGTTCATAATTAGTATGGACAGTACATTTATTTCAGATGTGATGTCCATACAGGAAACTGCTCCTAATATGGACAATGTTTTGTCCAAGTTTAAAACTTGTTCAGATTTTTTTTACTTAATGAAGCTTAAAAGCAGATATTATTGTTATTTTCCATAAGTCAAAAGCAGTAGGCCACACTAATAGTATTGATTGGCCCCTTGGCTTAAGGCAGCAATGGGTATATTTGGAATATTTGTCCATATTTTGTTAAATTCAAAGGTGGCAACCCTATTGCCAAGGTCTACTTCATGATACAAAATGCATAAACTCACCTTCACTTCTTAACTTTCTCCTCAGATGCATGCTGACTGATGAGGTCTCAGCAACATGTCAGTGATTTTGAGACTTTAAATAACACAAAAAGGGCGAGTGGCATACATCAAAGATATGAGCACTGTCTCCATGGCTCGACTTCATAACTGCAAAGGAAGCAGAAAGTAAATTTTCTTGAGAGTAAGATAAGCCAATAGCTGAAAAACATACATTGACACACCTTTAGACACCAAATTTCTGAATATTGTCAATATATACAAAAGGTCTTGGAAAACGAGGGCATTTTATGCAAAATGTTCACAGCTACATAATACTCAAGGAAATCCATATCCTGCTAGTTCATTTCTGAGCAAAGCTTTACTTTTTCAACTGCAATTTCTGCTATCTTAATATTATTTTTACTTGAGTTGGACTTCAAAAATCTCAATTATGATAATGCAAAAATTAATGCATTCTGAAATGATTCAAGGGAAAAATAACAGCACATAGTGGCAGCATTTTCAACTCTGGCTCATGGAACCACTTTACCAATAGTAAGGTGCATCACACTGAACACACTGAAACAATATTGGGATCCAGAGATTGGATCACAATGCCAAAAGCTTGAGACCACACAAGGAATTCCTGTCAGAAGTGCAATGCTCACTCCTGAGTCATGTTTCAAAATTTCCTATGAGGAAATTAATAAACCAGGCTTTCAATATTTTTATTGCATGTCATTGCTAAATTTAGCAACTTCTGGATATCACATGGAAAAATCACGGCTTTCTAAGAGATGATCACTCATTATCAATCCTCTATGTTCTGGCAATCGAATCAAGATCAAAGGCATATCAAGTCCAACATAATTTCCTAAAAATCAATAGGATTTTCAATGATTCACAACTAAAGACAAACTTAATGAACACGGATTAATAAAATGTAATTTAAAAATTAATTCATTGCTTTTAAAACAAAATTTTCTTGTTATTAAATAATTGATAGAAAACCTGATTAGCAGAACAAGAATGCACTAAATGTGCAAATGTAAAATGCTCAGGGGATAAAAAAAAACCTTTTGGTTCCTGGAAGATCCATGATGTATAAACTTTCTATTGATTTCAAAACCACAATGAAGAAAAAAGATCACCTGGAGCTAAACACCAATTAATTCAGCTTTCACAAAACCACTACATAATACATTTGATTTTGAAAGGATTCATTTGGTGGCTTTTCACATTGATCAAGAGTATATACTAGTAAATGACCAAAGATCATTGCCGTCCTACCCCTGGTCATCCTATACCGTGCATCCAAAGATTTTTCTTTGGGTTTTGGGTCTCTATGATGTCTTGTAAATGTGAGATGGACAGCTTCATAACCTCTCAGGTTTAATTTAGCACTACAAGACTCAGCTCTCTTAGCATCTCTTTACTTCATCTGTTCTTGTGTCTACACAACAGTTTCAACCCTAAAATATAAATCAGAACCAATGCAAAGACATTAGTTAACAAGATGTACAGCATATTTGGAGATACATAATGAATATCATACTCAAATGGTTTTTCATGGAAACATTTATGTGCCAAGATATTGAGAACAATGAAGAAATACAAGGTATGTTGCAAAAGTTCCAGGATTGATTTAAAAAAAAAGAAGGGAGCTACTCATGTAATTTCTCTTATATACGTGTAAAGTAGACTCAATTCCCAACTTCCACACAAGTTCTGACATGTTCATTCCTGTCACGGTATGCACAGCACCCTTCTCCACTTATGTTGATGATGGAAAGCAGTTCCTCTTGCATGACAATGCATGCCTACACACAGCACTGTCTATTCAACAGTGGCCAAAAAACTAGTCACTGTCTTGCCTCATGCACCGTATTCGCCTGATTTGTCACCACTGGGTTTTTTCTGTTTCCATGGCTCAAAAGAGCCATGAAAGGCCATTGCTATGAAGACATTCCACACTCAAGCGGCTGTGAGAGTCAATGAACAATATTCTTGAAAACAACTTCCAAAATTACTTCAACAACCTTCAGTGATGCTAGCAACAATGTATTATTGCAGAGGGAGATTACTTTGGACAGGAAAAGCATAATAAGTTTGTAAGTACCTTCCATTTTTTTATTTATAACATTCTATAGCCCTGGAACTTTTGCAACATACCTTGCATAATATGGATACCATGTATTGAATCATTTCTCCTTACCAATGTTGTGGGAAAACACTCTGCCAAGAAGGCAGTGCCAAGGAAGCAAATATAAAATAATACCTGCAGACTGGATTAATTTCCAGGAAAAGTCAGCTATTGTAGGTAAATGAAGCGGCAATGAGCATGCCATCTTGCAAATACTGTAGGCCTACTAGTACCATATTTCAGGAGCTATTTTTTCCTGTGCTGACTCAATTGTCAACTCTGCTTTGACACCCATAGGAAGTACATTCTGATTTGATCTTCCATTTTTGCCACTCATCAAAAATGGCAAAAAAGGGAAGTCATTGACATTGAGCCAATTGTCTCATCTCATAGTCATCACCAATATGACCATGGAACAAGTTAGAGACAGTTTCCATTAATTCATTCCAATATTTATATTCATTGTCCTCAAGTCCAAGTCAGTTACAGGGCAATGCAGGAAACCAAATCTGAGCTTCCATTGTAACATTCTAATAACTTCTCAAGCCAAAGGAGTTTATCATCAGGTGATCCCTACTGATTGTTCTCTATCCAGGCAGGCCTATGCTCTTCCATTTCCCTTTTTTCCAGTTTGACTAGAGGTGCAATAAATAATGCATTCAAACTTTTATGGAGACATTTTGGCAAGACTTCCATATCAGGACAAGAGTAGAGAGGCTCAACTCTCCTGATTATTTAGAACTAGCATTGGTAAGGGGAAGGCTCTCCTTGTTTTCATTAACCATTATCAACATTAAATCAACAATTAAAATCAACATTAATCGGAGCTCCCCAACCAACCATAGAACCTGTGAGGGTAAAAGGTAAAAAAGAAATCTGCTGGTCCTTTCTTTTCAGCTAGATCCTACCGTGACAAATGAGGTCACCTGGGCCTACCAAACGATGGAATCCGTCTTTTGAAATGCACTGACATGACCGATCCTTTTCGCACTGAACATCTCAGCAGCACGATCGTGACTTGGCCGAAATACTCAGCACTAACTAGGCGTTGGAATAGACCTGACTGAAGGCACTCGGGAGACCGTTAGGAGTCAGATGAGGGGCGGAACACCTCCCAACTCATTGAATATTGAACACAATTGGCGGTACCTGACTTTCATGGCAGTTGCCATGCCGGATACTTCCGAACATGGTTGCTGGACTGCAAGCCAAGTTGGGTGACGAAAACACAGTCAACTCTCAATATCTCCGATTTCAAGGGAAATTCCAATTATGGAGATTTCTTCGCTTCTAAAAATTGTTCACACATATATACAGTATTTCAAAACGTATAACTCCATTTCAGCAAAATTACTTGGAAAAGTCAGTCGTAGAGTTTTTTTCGCGGCACCTTCACGCTCGACGATGTCTTCCAAATGCGCAATTGCATCGAAAGTCTCTTGTGCCAAACAAAGCTCCGCAAAACTTCAATCACATTAGATTGAAGGGTTGACAGTGAGCTTAGCGGACACTGACTCGGCAGCAGTGTGCAGGAGTGATAAGGTGCAGGCGCAGAGACCTCGTGACTCATCGCAGGCCAGACTTTTCCAACTGATCAGGATGGAAAGACGAAGGCGTGAATCATCGCATTTTTACGACTTTGCGGTTGGTGTCCGAATAGGGGAATTGGCCATGTACAACGTGTACAAGCCACCAAATCGGCTATGGCCCTCGCCAGTGCTTCCGCCGTCCAGGCACCCGTCGGTCTTCCTCGGAGATTTTAACAGCCACCACAGCCTGTGGGGCTTCGAGCGATGCCGCAGGGGAACAACTCAGCGAATGAGTCTCGACGCAGGATATGCACCTCCAGTTTGACGCTAAGCAGAAAGGAACTTTCCGCTCAGCTCGCTGGAGAAACGACTACTCGCCCGACCTCTGCTATGCGTCCACAGACGCTAGCAGTCTACCTCTCCCCGCAACGAGAACCGTCCTGGACAGTTTTCCCCAAAGTCAGCACAGGCCAACCGTGCTGCAAATTGGCCTGGAGACACGCGTCATTTTCAGCGCTCCAAAGCCACGCTGGAATCTGAGACGGGCTGACTGGCCCGGATTCATCGAAGCCGTCGAGAAAACGATCGTCAACGTTCCATCGCAGCCTGGATGCTTCGATCGATTCACGAAGCCACTCGTGAAGGCCGCAAAGAAAAACATCCCTCGCGGCTACCGATCCTCATTTACTCCATGTTGGAGCAAGGAAAGTGAATCCCTCCTTGCACAGAGAGAAATGACACGATATAGTGTGTCATTTGACGCACGT